GAACCCGTGCTGGTTTCCCCTCAGCATAATTTTTCCTGCCGGGCTCTCGCAAATGTGAGCCTTGATAATTTTTTCAAAGACTTTGCCAAGGATGGAGGTGAGACTGACTGGCCTATAGTTTCCTGAGTCCTCCTTCCTCCCTTTCTTGAAAATGGGGACCACATTGGCCCTTTTCCAGTCCTCCGGGACCTGGCCCGTGTGCCATGAGCATTCAAATATTCCCTCCAGTAGCTGTGCAGTGACGTCAGCCAGTGCCTTCAGTACCCTCAGATGGAGCTCATCCGGGCCTGCCGACTTGAATGCATCCAGTTCCCCCAAGTGCCTCTGCATCATCTCAGGGTCTACGCTTGGTAGTCTGGTGTCTTGCTGTTGCCTCTCTACAATCCCAGTGAGAGCCTTGTCTTGCCCCTCGCTTAGGAACACTGAGGCAAAGAACTCATTGAGGAGTTCAGCCTTGTCCCCCCTGTCCGTCACCAATTGCTTATGCCCATCTAGTAGGGGTCCTATTCCACCCTGGGCCTTCCTTTTACTCCCTATATATCTAAAAAACAATTTTTTGTTATCCTTAACTTGGGATGCCGTCCTCAGCTCCATGGTAGCTTTGGCCTGTCTAACTGCCTCCCTACAAGCGCGAGCAGAGGAGGTATACTCCTCTTTAGTAATCTCTCCCTGATTACTAAAGAGGAGTATATCTCTTGAGTCCCATGGCTTGCAGCCTCTTTTCATAAGGCCTATTCTCTCTCATACTCTCTGATCATGCGCGTGGCTCTTCACTGGATTCTCTCAAGCTTCCCCACATACTTCTTGAATTGTGGAGCCCAGAATTGGATGCAGTACTCCAGCTGCGGCCTCACCAAGGCCAGGTACAGTGGGAGGATGACATCCTGAGATTTACTTGAGAAGCATCTATGGATGCAAGCCAGAGTTTTATTCGCTTTACCACCTGCGACATCGTATTGGTGGCTCATGTTCATCTTGTGATCAATAGTGACCCCCAAGTCCCTTTCCCCAAGTCCCTTTTGACTGTGGTGCTAGCAAGTGTAGCACTGCCGAGCCTATTAGTGTGATGAGGGTTTTTTCCCCCAAGATGGAGTACCTTGCATTTTTCTGTATTGAATGTCATCAGGTTTCTATCTGCCCACTTACTAAGCCAATCAAGGTCAGCCTGGATCACCAGTCTATCCTTGGGTGCGGATGCTCTATCCCATAGTTTGGTGTCATTAGCGAACTTGGCCAGCCCACATCTGACACCAATATCTACATCGTTAATAAAGACAGTAAAGAGTAAATAAAGATGTTAAAGAGTAAATAAGTTTGAGGGAGTAAACCCAGATCAACTCTTTAAAAATGTAATAATTGTATAAAGCTGTGGTATCAGGTAGAACCTGAACAATGACTTGTATTGAGAACTCCACATTTTTATACTAGTAATGAACTGTTCTGTATGAAGATTAGTTTGCTAAAAACACACTTTGTGGTAAGAATTTGTGAAATAGAATGGACAATTTGCTAAAACTTAAAATAGCCCATGTTAAATTAATAGTTTAACTTTTTTAATATCATTATCTTGCTACAATTTTTCTTTGTAAGCCCTTACATAGTGTGACTAAGCCACATACATGTGAATAACAGTAGTGTAGCAAGGGCAGTGCCAGCAGTACACTGGCACCAGGTGCCCTTACACAGGGGGCACCAAATCAAATTAAAGTAATTCTAATAGTATAAAAGCCATAGTCTGTCTGTAACACTTTATTTGCACCCTGATTGTCTGATGGAAACAACCAATCAGAGTGTGAATACAGTATTTGGACAGGAGGTGGTGGAGTAGCAAAGGGTGTCATGATGGTGGGGACACAGGGAATGGAGCGGGGGAGCACAGCTGGCCTCGCCCCCCCTGCCCTGCTCCCTGGAGGCAGCGGCAACGGAGCGGATGGAACAGGGCAGGCAAGGCCAGCTTCACTCATTGTTTCTTCAGGTTTATATTGCTCCTTGGAGGTGGTGGTGGTGGTGTGAGAGGGAGCGGGTTCGGGATGGCGCAGGAGGGGCGAGCAGAGGGGATGAGAGGAGCAGGCCTGGCCCCAAAACAGCAGC